ACTCAAAAAAAGGCCGGGTGTGGTGGCTCATGCCTGTAATCCCAGCACTTTGGAAGGCCAAGGGGGGTGGATCATGAGGTCAGGAGATTAAGACCAGCCTGGCCAACATGGTGAAGCCTTGTCTCTACTAAAAATACAATAAAGTAGCCAGGCGTGGTGGCCTGCATCTGCAGTCCCAGCTACTTGGGAGGCTGAGGCAGAGGAATCGTTGGAGCCAGGAGGCAGAGGTTGCCAGTGAGCCAAGATAGTGCAACTGCACTCCGGCCTGGAGACAGAGCAAGGCTCTGTCTCAAAAAAAAAAAAAAAAAAAAAGAGTTCTCAAAGGGATATGCCCATGGTTGAATTGCTGGGCCACGTGCATCCCACTGCCAAATGCCTTTCCAAAGCAGCAGAACCCATTCACACTCCCATCAGCAGCGGGTTCACACCACTCCCCAATGTCACTGGCTAGTAGCTCCAAAGTTTCACCTTCTGCCGACAGGGTGGCTGTGAAATGGTATCTCATTATGGTTTTAATTTACATTTCCCTGGTTACTAACGCTGCAGTCCTTTTTACATGTATGTGCTGTTTGTGCTTTGTAATCTATGAAATACCCATTCCTATCTTTTGTCCTTTCCTTCTTTTTCTCTCAGAATTGTAAGAATTCTTTAGATATTCCAGATACTAGCTCTCTGTATGTTTTGTGTCTCATTATAGTGTCTTTGATGAACTAAAGGTGTCATTACTTTGAGATAAGGTCTGGCTCTATTGCCCAGGCTGATATGCAGTGGCACAATCACAGCTTACTGCAACATCTGCCTTCAGGGCGCAAGCCACTCTCCCACCTCAAGTAGCTGGGACTAACTGGGCTTGGTGTGTACCACCAAGCCCAGCTAATTTTTTTTTTTTTTTGTAGAGACAGGTTTTCATCATGTTGCCCAGGCAGGTCTCAAACACCTCGACTCCAAGTGATCTGCCCATCTGGGCCTTCTAAAGTGCTGGGATTACAAGTATGGGCCACCACACCTGGCTGACTGCCTTAAACTTGAAGTAGACAAATGCAATCAATCTTTCTCCTTTAGGGTTTGCACTCACTACGTTTTATTTCAGAAATCTCTCCTTAGCCTCAGGTCATGAAGAATTCTTTTTAAATTATTTTCTATAAATTTTACAGTTTTGCTTTTTCAGTTTAAGTCTTTAATCCACCTGGTGCTTTGTGATGGTGTGAGGCTGGGATCTCATAAATCTTTAATATTCCTCCTCAGCACCTGACATGTTGCTATGTAGACAATTTTATGCAATAAACAGAATCAAATACTGCTTTGGGTTCAAAGCTCAAATTTCACTCTTGAGAAAAAATTTAAGAAGCTTCTCATACTTTGTGTCAGCACTTTGACAAAGTTAGTATTGGTGTATCATGACTTTTTGAGGCTTCTTTACCTTCACTGCAAATTTTTGGTACAGGACTAAATGCACAATGAAGCTGAGCTAAAAGAAGAGCAACATAGAATTAGAAACCTGGATTCTCATCCAAGATCCAATACTCCTCAATGTCCTGTCTGTATTTGTGCAATAAGAATCAAAATAGGCCAGGTGCAGTGGCTCACACCTATTAATCCTAGCACTCCAGGAGATGGAAACCATCCTGGCCAACACGGTGAAACCCTGTCTCTACTAAAACACAAAATATTAGCCAGGTGGCCGGGCATGGTGGCTCACGCCTGTAATTCCAGCACTTTGGGAGGCTGAGGCAGGCGGACCACATTAAGTTGGGAGTTTGAGACAAGCCTGACCAACATGGAGAAACTCCGCCTCTACTAAAACCACAAAATTAGCCAGGCGTACTGGTGCATGCCTGTAATCCCAGCTAATTGGGAGGCTGAGGCAGGAGAATCGCTTGAACCTGGGAGGCAGAGGTTGCGACAAGCCAAGATTGTGCCATTGCATTCCAGCCTGGGCAACAATAGCGAAACTCCGTCTAAAAAAAAAAATGAGCTGAGCGTGATGGTGCACACCTATAGTCCCAGCTACTCCGGAGGCAGAGGCAGGAGAATCACTTGAACCCAGGAGGAGGAGAATGCAGTGAGCTGAGATCACACCACTGCACTACAGCCTGGTGACAGAGTGAGACTGTCTCAAAATAGAAAAATTAAAAAAAAAAAATTAGCCGGCGTGGTGGCTCATGCCTGTAATCCCAGCACTTTGGGAGGCCAAGGTGGGTGGATCAGGAGGTAACAGAGATTGAGACCATCCTGGCCAACATGGTGAAACCCCATCTCTACTAAAATACAGAAATTAGCTGGGCATGGTGGTGCATGCCTGTAGTCCCAGCTACTCTGGAGGCTGAGGAAGGAGAATTGCTAGAACCTGGGAGGCGGAGGTTGCAGTGAGCAGAGACTGCACCAAGGCACTACTCCAGCCTGGGGCCTGGCAACAGAGCAAGACTCTGTCTCAAAAAAAAAAGGAATTAAAATTATCAGCCATCCCACTCCTAGGCAGATACCAAGATAATTAGAAACTTTCACTCACATAAAAATTTCTACATGCATGTTCCCAGCAGCCTACTCACAATTACCAAAAGGCAAAAACAAACAAAATGTCCATCAATGAATGAATACGCAAAATGTGGTGTCATCCATACAAAGGAATATTATTCAGCCATTAAAAAAGCATGAAGTACCAACACAGAGTACAACATGGATAAACCTTGAAAACATTGTGCTAAGGGACAGAAAGCAAACACAGAAGGCCATATATTTTATGTTTCCACTTGGATGAAATGTCCAGAGTAGGCAAATCCATACAGACTGAAGATAAGTTAAGGCTGCTGGGGGAGAGGGGAAGGGGGAAAAGGGGTATGACTGCTAATGGGGTTGGGGTTTCTTTTGCAGGTGATGAAATGTTCTGGAATTAGTTACTGGTGATGGTTGCACAGATTGTGAATATAGTAAGAACTACTGAGTTACGGCGCGTGGTGGTGCACATCTGTAATCCCAGCACTTTGAGAGGCCAAGGTGGGTGGATCACCTGAAGTTAGGAGCTCGAGACAAGCCTAGTAAACATGTTGAAACCCTGTCCCTACTAAAAATACAAAAATTAGCCAGGTGTTGGTGGTGCACATCTGTAATCCCAGCTACTCAGGCGTCTGAGGCAGGAGAATTACTTGAAACTGGGAGGTGGAGGTTGCAATGAGCCAAGATCTCAACACTGCACACCAGCCTGGCCAAGAGAGACATTTCACCTCAAAAAAAAAAAAAAAAAAAAAAAATACTGAGTTGTACACTTTAAAATGGGTAAACTGATAAATTTTATGTAGTGTGAATTTTATTTCAATTTTTAAAAACCTACTTAAAAAAAAAGGAGCACCAATTTGTTTAACTCTGTGCCCCTGGAATATTCCTGCAGTGATTAAAACCACAAACTCGGCAGGGCTCAGTGGCTCACATCTGTAATCGCAGAGCTTTGGGAGGTCAAGGTGGGCAGATCATTTGAGGCCAGGAGTTCAAGACTAACCTGACCAACGCAACGAAACCCCACCTCTACTTTAAAAAAAAAAAAAAAAAAAAATTAGCTGGGTGTGGTAGCACGTGCCTGTAATCTCAGCTACTTAGGAGGCTGAGGCACAGATGCGCTTGGGCCCAGGAGGGGGAGGCTTCAGTGAGCCGAGATCGCAGGCACCACTGCACTTCAGCCTGGGCGACTGGGCGAGACTACTTCAATCAATCAATCAATCAATCACACACTCCAAAAGGAGCCTGCCTGGGTTGAAATCCAGCTTCCCATTTAAGAGCTGTGTGTCCTGAGCGAAGTTACTTTGCCTCTGCACGTTGCTCACATCACCTGTACAAGAAGGGTTAACAGTTCCTAAGATCTACAAAAAGAATAAAATGAGGTGGTCCATAGAAAGCACTTAGAACAGTGTCCGTTCTGGAGTGCTCAACAGACCTAAGCTATTAGCCACAATTACTGTGCTTGACATTAGCTATTGGATATCTATGGCGGTCAGAGTAAAACTGAGAGCTCACTTTATGCCCAAGACTCTGCTAAGTGCTTTATCCTATTGTCTCACTTTATTCTCTCATTAACCTTATAAAGCACGGTCAGACGCTCCTGTTTACAGATAGGGAAATTGAGGCTTACAGAGGTAAAGTAGTATACCTAGGGCCCCGCAACTCAGAGAAGGCTGATTGCAATTTAGATGGAGGTCTATCAAGCCGCACAGTCCTAGCCAGGGAGCCCGCTGTGAGACTCCCAGACAGCCTCGCAGTCATCTGTACACATCCTGCTGGGATCGCCGAGGGGCGCTGCAGAGATCTGGTTTCCCCGGCTGTGTTTGGGCGGCACGTTCAGGAGAACAGGGACCTGCCTGGTTCGTGTTCCCAGTCCTTTCCCTCCAGCAGCCGGCAAGGCCCAGTCAACACAAGCAAACTCGGAAATCCCGGCGGAACCCACGACCGCTTCATGAGGAATCGGCGTGCCCTTTCTTTAGGAGCTCGATTATTCTGAATTATTTCCATTTTAGAAAAACACAGCAACAACTCAAACCAAATCGTTTAGATAGGAGAATAAAGCAGCACCGACAAAGGAGGCGACTGCCGGAGCCGCTCGGGGGAGGAGCCAGGTGAGAGGCTGCAGGGAGAGCAGGGCGCGCGCCGGCGACCACAGGGTCTGGGGTTTGAGGGGCGAGGCCCGGGAGAAGGGACTCTGGGGTTGCAGCGCCGCGGCTGGGGGCGTGGGGATGGAGCCGGGGGAAGGGGAGCTCTGAGATGTGAAGGGGCGGGGCTGGGGTGTTTGGTCTGGAAAGAGGGAGTCTCACGGAAGGAAGGGACGAAGATTTCCTGGGGTTCCCGGCGCCAAAGGGCTTCGGGGCCGGTTGGCGCGGAGGGAGCCCGGGGCCCGGGGGGCGTGGTGAGAGCTCAGAGGGGTCGGGCCGAGCAGTCGGCTGGCGCTACAGAGACCGAGGAGGGATCTGGGGCGGAAGGGCTGCTAGAGGGCACCCAGGGCGCCGGGGGCGCGATACCTGCAAGGCGGCGTAGTCCTCTAAACTGGTCCCGCCAGACCCGAGCGGCCACCGCCCCCGTCTCCGCAGCCTCAGCTGCCGCCTGGCCGCGCCCCCACGTGACCCGCGCACGCGCCGAGGGCGGAGCCGTCGCAGGACCCGTCCCCGGCGTCCCCGGCGCGCAGTCGCGTCCCGAGTGCGCGTGCGCGGGGGTTGCCTTGGCGACCGGGAAAACGTTGAACTGCAACAGCTGGGGCGCCAGAGGCTGGCGAGGAAGGAAAGCGGGGAGTCTCCGGCTGTGCCGCGGACTGTAGCAACGTCCGCCGCAGAACTGGGTTCCCCACAGCTGCGGGGCGTTCGGTGGCGCAGAAGTGAACATGCACCCTGAGCCCTCGGAGCCTGTGGCGGATGGGGCAGGAAAGCTGGACTGCACGCAGGAGCGCGGCGTGGAGGAGTCTGCGGGTGACCACGGGAGCGCAGGCCTAGGGGGCTGCTGCAAGGAAGGTGCCGACCGCCCCCCCAGGGAGGGCGGGGGGGGAGAGGGGCCGACCCGGCTGGGCGCTCCAGCCTCCTTCCCACACCATATACCCGATCTTCAGAGCCAAATAATAACAGTGATAAAGGTACCAAACAACGCTCTGCAGTAGGGGCTTCTCTCCCCACTTGGTACAGAGAAGGAAACAGATACTTCAGAGGTTATAAAACTTGCTCCAAACAGATAATCCTCGGCTAGTCAGTGACAGAACAGACTCGGCTACACGCGAGTCTGTCACCACGTAAGATCAAAGGCTTTCTCCCCCTCCAGACGGCATGTTGTGTCAGCACAACACATTCTGATTGAATTTGGAGTCTAGTCCAGTGCCTGACCTAAGGTAGAGTGTCTGAATGAAGACTTTGTGGCTCTGGGGTCACTCTGTGACCCCCTCACCATAGTTTGACAGAATGGACTTGAAAGATCAGCTTCATGGCCAGGCGCGGTTGCTTACGCCTGTAGTCCCAGCACTTTGGGAGGCCGAAGCAGGCGGATCACCTGAGGTCAGGAGTTTGAGACCAGCCTGGCCAACAAGGTGAAACTCAATCTCTACTAAAAATACAAAAATTAGCCGGGAATGGTGGTGCACGTCTGTAATCCCAGCTACTTGGGAGGCTAAGGCAGGAGAAACACTTGAACCTGGGAGGCGGAGATTGAAGGGAGGCAGAGGTTGCAGTGAGCCAAGATCATACCACTGCACTCCAGCTTGGGTGATAGAGCAAGACTCCATCTTAAATAAATAAATAAGTAAATATTAAAAAAAAAAAAAAAAGATAGACTTCAGCTTCTGCTCCCCACTAGACTTGGTGCCGGAAGGGAAACCTTTTAGTGATTAGATTAGAAAGATAATTGATTTGTGTTCCAGCTTCTGAACCGAGGCAACAAATAAAGCAGCTGATTTGTGTTCCAGGCAACAAATATATCTTAAGCATAATCTGTCCTGACAAACCTTGTGTGAAGAGCCATAGGGAACTGGCATGGCTCAGTGGGAAGACACCAGCTTTGGAGCCAAAGATACTGGGTTCAGGTGGAGCCTCAGCAGCTAGCCAGCTTTATGGCTGTTGGCCCAGAGCTTAACCTCTCTGAGCCCTAGTCTCCTCATCTGTAAGCTGAGATAATTATATGGGAATATATAGAGATAATTATAACTAAATGTTCCAGCATATAGTGGGCCATTATTAAATGGTAGTTCTTGCTATTAATTGATTACATATTAATATTAATATGTTGAACATTTATTCTTTACTTTTTCCACATTTATCTGCAGTTTCCTGTGGCTGGGCATTCTATGCAAAATTGATGAGTTTAAGACACACTCCCCACACACAGAGCGTTTAGTCTTGTTCAATACATCACACAAACACACAGAAAGCAGCAGACCAGAGCTCTTAATGTTAAGTGCAGTTGAATTGGTCAATTTGGAATGACCTTTGAAAAAAATTGTTCATTTCAATGTGCTCATTTTCTTTTTATCAAAGATATTCTCACAATTTTTGTTTCTTTTCATATGATTTTCCTTTTGAGGATTTTTTTTTTTTTTTTTTTTTTTTTTGAGATGACTCTAGGTCTGTTGCCAGGCTGGAGTGCAGTGGTGTGATCTCGGCTCACTGCAACCTCCTCCTCCCTGGTTCCAGCGATTCTCCTGCCTCAGCCTCCTGAATAGCTGGGATTACAGGCACGTGCCACCATGTCCAGCTAATTTTTTGTGTTTTAGTAGAGATGGGGTTTTACATGTTGGCCAGGATGGTCTGGATCTCCAGACCTCGTGATCTGCACACCTCAGCCTCCCAAAGTCTGGGATTACACGTGTGAGCCACCGCGCCCGGTCGTATTTTTTTTTTAAAAGATGTAATCTCACTATGTTGCCCAGGCTAGATCTTCCGGCCTCAGCCTCCTGAGTAGCTGGGATTACAGGCATGCTGCACCACACTTTGCTTGAGAAATTTTTTAAAAGGCAAAAGAACAAAGAACATTAAAACAGATACCCATGTTTTGTCCCCCAAGAACTGAAAACGATTAACATTTTATCATATTTACTTGAAGTCTTTTTTAATGAAAGAAATAAGCCCCTCTGCAAAATAAATAAAAATAAAAATGAATAAGGCTGGGTGCAGTGGCTCACACCTGTAATCCCAGCACTTTGGAAGGCTGAGGAGGGCAGATCACCTGAGGTCAGGAGTTTGAGACCACCCTGGCCAACATGGCAAAACCTCATCTCTACTGAAAAAACAAAAAAAAAATTAACTGGACATGATGGCAGGCACTTGTAATACCAGCTACTTGGGAGGCTAAGCATGACAATCACTTGTACCTGGCAAGCGGAAGTTGCAGTGATCCGAGATCCTACCACTGCACTCCAACCTGGGGGATAGAGCAAGACTGTCTCCAAAATAAATAAATAAATAAATAAATTTCACATAAAGTTTGTGTTCCTTTTGTTCTCTCTCCCCCACCCCATTTCTAATCCCATTCCTTTCGTGCCTTTTCCAGAATTTTATATGGATTCTTTCCAGCACTTCTGTATACCTATGTGGCCCGAAACAATGCA